CCGGTATCAAGTCAGCTCCGGGTGCCTTTCAACAGCTGATGGACACAATGCTAGCTAGTCTCAACTGTACTGTTGGTTACCTCGATGACATATTGGTCGGGGGCCGTAATGAAGAAGAGCATCAGCACAATCTGCAGCTAACTCTCGCGCGGCTCAAGGAGTATGGGTTCACCGTACGCATCGAAAAGTGTAGCTTCGGCATGCAGCAGGTCAAGTATCTGGGACAAATCCTGGATGGCAACGGAATCAGGCCGGATCCCGAGAAAATTTCATGACTCTACCACACGATGTTTCGACGCTTCGCACCTATTTGGGTGCCGTAAACAATTACGGCAAATACGTCAAAGAGATGCGCACTCTACGACATCCAATGGATCAGCTGCTGAAGGCTGGAGTAAAATTCGAATGGTCACCGGCGTGTCAAGCATCGTTCGATCGTTTTCGAGAGATTCTTCAGTCACCGTTACTGCTGACCCACTACAATCCCATGTTGGGCATCATTGTTTCGGCGGACGCATCTGCATTTGGACTGGGAGCACGAATCGCTCACCAGCTTCCCGACGGGACTATTAAAGCCATTTGTCACGTGTCCCGTAGTCTAACGACAGCCGAAACCAACTACAGTCAGATCGAGAAGGAAGGATTGGCTATCGTATTCGCTGTAACCCGTTTTCATCGAATGTTATTCGGTCGAAAAGTCATCCTCGAGACAGACCATAAACCGCTACTCGCTATTTTTGGGTCAAAAAAGGGTATTCCTACGTATACAGCCAATCGACTACAAAGATGGGCATTGACGTTGCTCCTCTACGATTTCGACATTCGCTACATTTCAACGAAAAGCCTCGGGCATGTGGATGTTTTGCCCCGTTTGATCAACCGACACATTCGCCCGGACGAAGAGATCGTTATCGCCAATCTCGAAATGGAGAACTCGATCAGAAGCATTATCAACGAGTCCCTAGAGGTATTTCCGCTATCGTTCAAGATGATTCAAGCGGAAACCAGATCCGATGACACACTACAACAAGTTATTCGGTTCGTCAATAGTAATTGGCCGCCTAAAAAGAAAGATCTCTCCGACCCTCAAGTCGAACAGTTCTATTTACGACGCGACTCGCTCAAAATCGTAGCCGATTGCGTGATGTATGGAGAACGTTTGGTTATTCCACCAAAGTTTCGGAAACGGGTGCTCCAACAACTACATAAAGGTCACCCAGGTGTGGAACGAATGCGATCGATCGCCCGACAGTACGTATATAGGCCTCATGTCGACGAAAACATCGCCAAGCTCGTCCAAACCTGCAATGAATGTTCCAGTGAAACAAAAACTGACCGGAAGACGAATCTCGAATCATGGCCAGCCGCAGAAAAACCGTGGCAGCGTATACATCTGGACTATGCCGGTCCTATGAATGGATGGTACTACTTCATTTTGGTGGATTCCTCCAGCAAATGGCCTGAAGTAGTGCGAACCAAGGAGATCACCACCTCAGCAACCGTGCGAATCCTTCGTGGAATCTTCGCTAGGTTTGGAGCTCCGGAAACGCTGGTAACTGATAATGGGCCACAATTTACCAGTGACGCTTTTGAATCCTATTGCGACAAAAATGCTATTCTCCACCTGAAAACTGCACCTTCCCACCCGCAGTCAAACGGCCTCGCGGAAAGGTTTGTAGACACGTTTAAAAGGTCGCTCAATAAAATCACCGCAGGGGGGGGGGGGAACGTTGCACGAAGCCATCGACACTTTTCTCCAATGCTATCGATCTACACCATGTCGCACCGCACCTGATGGAAAATCTCCTGCTGAACTCTTGGTTGGTAGAACAGTTCGAACATCACTGGACCTGCTACGTCCACCAACACAGTTCCACAAGATCAAGAATTCGAAGCAAGAAGCACAATTCAACCGAAAGCATGGCACGAAAGCGAGAATCTACATTCCTCAGGATCTCGTCTGGACCAAGGTGTTCTGGAATAACAAGTGGAGCTGGGATGCAGGAACAGTTGTGGAACGCCTTGGGAAAGTAATGTACAACATTTGGCTACCGATGAAGCAAATTCTCATATGATCACATTGCAACCAGATGAGAACTCGCTATCAATCCGATGAGCAACAACTAAAAACACAAACACCAGCGGAATCCCAACTTCGTCTGAGCGTCCTGTTGGACAGTTGCGGTCTATCTACGACATCGTCTTCGAAAGCAGAAAACCTTCCGGATTCGTCAGAACAACATCAGTGGCCAACTCAACGTAGCAACCAACGCCGTCCCAGCAACATCCGATTCCTACACGCCAGTCTACGAGGCTTCGTAGGCCGCCCGTGAGGTATGAACCTTACCAACTCTTCTGAAAGGGGGGAGGTGTTGAGAGGCATTCTAGTACTACGCAATGTTTGTTTTGATTCGCTATGAAAGTTTGACAAATAAAATGAGGGGTTATTGGTTTTTCTTATGTTTCGAGTGGTGAATGATTAGCTTGGGACCGAAGAGAGTACCAGAGCTGAGTCAAAAAGTTGAGCACGTTATTTCGGGACCTTCTAGTCTTAGAGTTACCTCTATGGTTGAATCGTACGTTACAGTAACTGAGATACAGAGAATTTTATTATTTGAAATTGTTGATATATTGAAACAAAACAAAATAATCTCTTTATAGTAGGTCAGTTGTGGAAGATAGGAGATTATGATCATCATTTTATAGCATACGAAATAATTGATAAAACAAACAACTATAACATTTTCAATATCCTGTTTCGTAATAAAAGGGATTTTCTTTCAATAAATCTGTAGGTTCTAGGTTATCTTTATTAGCGAGACTTTCAGCCAGCGGCTGGTTCATCTCTTCAATGAATCTGTAATTATAGATAATTGACTATTATGTGACTAGAGCATGACCAGACACTCTCGGGTAACTAACTCAGTAGCATGAGACCCCTGAATTGTGTCGCAGGGCCGGCATGTTACTGGGTATTCGGAGGGGCTACGCGCACAAAGTATGAAACACACAGGAATATTCACATTTTCTAACAAATTTATTTGCCCTTTTCTGTGGCGTGTGGGTGTGGGTTTTCACATATATGTGGCGTGTATGCGAGGGTTTAAAATTTAGTACTCACTGCTGCAGCGGGATCTCCAACGGCGTCGCGACGCTGGCGTTGGCCCACACGGCTGCTCCTGCACTACCGTGTGGCCGGAAACTAACGGCGTGGGCAACAGTGCAACAGTGTTGTTGCAGCTTTGGGAGAATGGCGGATCTGGTGGCGTTTATCAGCCACATACGGCTCAGCAGGCGTTGCTGGCTCGTTTGGCTGGCAGGCGTCTTCCTTCGTTGACGGCATCGGCTGACCGTGGCATGGCCACCTTGGTCGAGCCGAGACGGGACCCTTCTTGGTAATTAAGGCCACCGGCCTGAGAGAATCGTCCCTGACGGACGATCAAGGATCATTTACTATTAGGCTCGGAAGCCATCTTGACTTGCGAGCCGAGCCGTGTAAAACCGTTTTATTTACGGTACGAGGTGTACAAAATGTACAAAAGCACAAGAACGCCTGTTTGTTTGTGGTGAATCTTCCACTGAAAGATGGCCTCTCCAATATCTCCAATCATTATCATTCTCCCTCTTTTCGCACAACTATTTTTGTGCGAGATGTTGTATAATAGTTTTTTTTTTCCCTTCAGTAACGTTTTTGTTCTTTGCAGCGGCACAAACCCTCTCGCTCTTGTGTGTGTCTACTGTTTTAGGTTTAACAAAACGTGAATTTTCCAAACAACAACAGCTCATACAAACGAAAATCCACGGATTGTAACCAACTGGTTACAATTATTTGATGTAATAAATTGTTATAATGAATAGTTGGAGGCGAACCAGCCTAAGGCTGAAAGCCTCCTAAATAAAGCTAAATAATAATAATAATATAATGAATGAACAATTAGATTAAATTTATGCTATAATTAATCTCATATGTACAGTTGTGTTCAATATAATAGAAGCGCATGCCGATTTCCATACAAAATGGTCAACTTTGACATGATGTAACTTTGTTAACTTATGATCAATTGAGCTGAAACGTTCGCCACAGAACTACAAATATGTTCAATTTTACGATTACAAAATACCAAATTTTTGGAAGCACCTGTTGGAAAGTGAGACACTAGGTAATATTGTTCAAAATTAAGTTTAAGGGGCTTAGAAGCAAAGGGATGAAAGTCAATTCTCTTCATCGATTTCCTCTTCTGGTGACCATGGCTTCACTAACCCATTTCGCACTATTTCTGCTATGCTCTTCTATCATCCAGAACAACAAATGCATCAATGATTGTGTTTGCCGTCGAGTTATTAACGTCGCTAAAGAGCATCGATCAAAATCACTTAAACCCCCTGCTTCCTAGTTTGGTTACAAGATTACAACTCTGGAGAGCATTTCGTGTGCTCGTGTGGTTCTGAATATGGCGATGAGTATGCAAAATGTTACGCAATTGCAGGCTCCCTATTCGCACACGCCCGAAGATCGGAGGCGAATGCCACTTCGACTTGTTTCGTCTACTAACGACTCTCTGATGACAGTATTGGGGAAGCAGCAATGCTACATCGACATGTTTCGTTTAGAAACAATTCTCTGATGACTGTGTTGGGGAAGCAGCATATGCATGTATGTAATTGGAGGGTTTGTTAGTTATTTCGACGCTTTTGGACGATGCTTGACATTGACCATTTTTTCAATAGTTTATTGTTGAAAATTAACAGTCAAAGAATTTTGTTACATACAAAAAAAAGAATTATCGGCTCCGTAAAGCTAACGCGATTGAGCCTTGCAAATAAACGAACTAGATAGAAAAAATCAATACCTCAATTGTCTCCCCTTAGATGGAGAACAGTCATGTTCGAAGACAAAATGTAATGAAAAACTGATAGATTGACAAATTATTATTTTATTACGCAATTAACGTCATAGCAATTCTTATATGATATTATTTTCTTATATCTATGATTTTAAACTATGCTTCTTAAATGCGTAGCACTACTGTCATACAATTAACACAATATTGTTAAAAATAAGTAAGAACACAATTTACAAACCATGATTAATTCATTGGATATAATAAACGGTATGAGGATCATAAAATATAATTTCACTTATACAGTCAGTACAATATGGAGAAAAAAGTCCATAGCAACTTACTTTATTTAACAGATTTCTAATATGTATTATTATTTAATTTATATTAATAAAATACTTTACCATTACTAAGGATGCATCGAACAAAATAAGAACTTAAAAGTCTATGCTACAGAATATATAATAGGTAGGTATACATATAATTTTGAATTTTGTCTTTAGAGTTAAATCTATACTCAAAAACTTTCTCTCGTTTACTGTAAAAATATAAAATACGGGTAAATTGTACTTATTTCCCTATTCAATTCTTCTGCCTATTCGGAAAGAAAAAAGTTGTCAGTCGCGGATGCAAAATAAAAGATCAACGCATAATGCGAATACATATAGAAGTCTCTGAATGCCCATTGGTGCAAACACAACATGAGCCGATCTAAGTATAGGTGCAAGAAACTTGCGCACACTTGCACTTGTACTAAGGACCGATTTCGTCACCTGCGCTTATCTCTTAAATCAGGTTCACCCATATGGATAAGGTTCAAGCGGAGGTGAAGAAATTGGCCCATAGAGTTATTAATTGTTTACAAACATTTGGGTATTCAGAGACTTCTATTGTATTCTCTGAATCGGCAAAATTTTTAGTTTTTTTTTACAATTACAATTGAATTACCGTGCATGTTTTGAACAGTGTCAAATGATGGAAATTTGTATGTTTATTCAAATGTTACCAGTAACAAACATCTAAGTGTACATAATGAGACACTGTTCAATACATTGTGCTTGTACGGTTTATTACTTAAAAGCTTATACTGCGTACAGAACGGAATCGTTTTAATGGTTTTAATGGTAGAGCATTATTGTATTTTGAAAAAGTAGGTTTGGTGTGAGTGTGTGGGTGAGAAAGTTAATAAAAAATCGCTTTAGCACTAAGGGTAAGTAATTCATTTACTTATTCTTGGACGATCCCGATCCCTGGGACTTTGACTGCTGATAGTTTCCATAGTTGCGTTGTTGTGTGTATTGGGACCAGTACTGTTCCATGTTTGCTTGCTGTGAATTGTTGTTGCCTCCACTAACGCCACCTTGCTGCTGCAATAAGTTTTTGAGATTTGACTACAAAGACATTTTAAGTGGAAATTTTGAAAAATAGTTTTTTTTTTTAATTCAGTAGAATTAATATTAAATGTCAACTACGTTATTGAAGTTAATAAGTTATCTTAAGAGACCAAATGTATAACCTTTACAGTAAATAAATAACAATTATTTATGCTAAATTAGAACGAAAGCATAATTATGTGAATACCGTGCAAGCACCATATTCTGAACGGTTGAGAAGATCTCAACGTAATCGGATCTGAATGAAAACAATGTTGCAATCTAGGTTGCAATTTAAAAAACTACTTCTTCTCAAAGTCGTGTAGACAGAACATCTAAGGGATCGTCCATTAATTATGTCACACTATTAGGGGGGAGGGGGGTTTTGGAAACTGTGACGAGCCATACAAAAAAAATTTCATAAAATGTAACAAAGGGGGAGGGGGGGGGGTTTGAAAATGAGCCAAATTTGCGTGACATAATTAATGGACCTTCCCTAAGTATGTACTCGTTGAAAATAAATCTGGGTGCATAATTCTATTAAGTGAGCACATTAAAGAAAGTGACCATGTAACTTGAAACGCTCGAGGTTTAATCCCGCTCGGGAAAGCCTTTTGAGAGATTTGTATGAAATACTTCACGGCAGCCCTCAAATGATATATTTAGGGGAAGACGGGGTAAGAACGTTTAGCGGGTTAATATGGACCACAGCCAGCTCTCTACACTGGAAATATATTAAACGTTATCGGTATTAGATTATGCACATAAGACGACGGTAAACATCACTGCATCACGCAGATAAAAAAAAAATCCTTTATTTACAAGGCTTTCAGTCATTGGTTGGTTCGCCTTGGGGGTGCAGATAAAATTGACCTTATTGAACAAACAAAAAATATTATTGAAATATTTTGCAATGTCAAATATAACTTTTCTTTTTATTCTATATTTATATTTTGTAGCTTCAAATTTTTGCAAATTCTGAAAACAATATATTGTAGATTCAATAAAATATATTTTTACTTCAAATATTATTTTAGCTACTTAAATTTAAAAACAACACTTTTCCAAAACATACACAGCTCATTTTGCCAGTGTAAGTGTGTGTTTTCCATGCTTGCGCATGCTCAGTTTCCCAGTCGCCATTTCTAGGCTTTATTTAAAACGCAAAATGGACTCGTCGGAAGAAGTTCTTTTTGAGGAAGTGGAAGAAGTAAATGACGCGCTAGTTGATTTATTGCTGAGTTTTGAACTCTCGGAACAAGCTGTCAATTGCTTTTTTGGTAAGGAATACAGTTTTTGCATTTTAATACGTGTTTTAACGATTTTTCCCAATTCCAGCAAATCAATACACCGTGGAAACGTTGAAAATTGTCAAACGAAATCGAAGAATTAATACCACCGCCATTTCTTGCTGAACGGACGAAGTACATATATGGATTAAACGCTTGGAGAAAGGGACCGGTACGATTGTACGGAAAAATATGTTTCATGACAACAATTCAGACTTTCAATTATTACCAAAGGAATTACCGTCGCTATCGTTTTTACAGCAGAAAATCTTACTCGAGAACGTTGCAACGCAAATTACTTGCTTAACGCGTCATCAAAAGGTCGAGCCATCCTTCAAAAATGCCAAACACAGACATTTTTATCAAGAGCTGATAAGAGGACCATCACTCACATCGTTGTTGATGAATTAGGTTCTTTAATTTTGAAAAATGTATTGCGCATTTTGCACCTTCTTATACAACTGTGCAGAAAATTTCTGCACAGTGAATATTTTCGCACACCCAGCGTACACCTATCTCTTACTCACACAAACGTAGCCTAGCTATGTCAAAGAGAAAGATCGGGCAATGCTAATTTTATAGTCTCTTTCATTCCCCTACTGTTACCATTTAACAACAAGTGTGACGTCAAACTCACTGTTCCATTCGAATGCGAGCGAAGGAAAAAACAACAAGCTGCACATTGCCAGACCTCCTCTCCTTGTCTTGGATAGCCTAGTTGGCTTGTGATTTGACAGATCGTGAGAAATTTTATTTTGTTTTGTTTTGGTTTTGATGGTTTGCTGCTGCACTGTCTGACATAAGGATTAAGTAGTATTAGTGAGTGCGCAAGCATAACTGTTACTGAAATCTTCTCGCAGAAGTCTAAAAATTCGTGCAATCAACAATATCGTTTTTTATAGATCAGCTGAAAGAGCTTCGTTTTCGGAGTACAGCGATATTTTTTTTCGAACCCACACACTTTCATCTCGATTTTTAAATCAAGATTTAAAGCAAAATAATAACTTCACTGTTTGACACTAAACTAACAAACTGACAGCTCGCTTCCATACAAAGTGACACCGAGGGGCGCTAATTAGGTGATTTTTGCAAACCTAATCGTACTTATTTAAAATAGTTCCAGTGTACCAAAATTGATGAAATTTTGGGTTTGGGTTCCATTTTTAATGCAGATTACGAATATGCATTTACCTCAATACCCATAAATAACCCAATTGGGTTCTTTAGAGGTAATGGGGTTATTGCATTTTCGTAATCTGTATTACAAATGGAAACGAAATCCAAAATTTCATCACTTTTGGAGCACTGGAACTATTTTAAATAAGTGTGATTACATTAGGAAAAATCACCACCTTAGCGCCCCTTGAAAGTACTTTGTGTGGGAGCGAGCTGTCATTTTGTTAGGCTTGTGTCAAACAGTGAAATGATTATTTTGCTTTAAATCTTGATTTAAAAATCAGCATGGATGTAAATGGGATCGTTGCGCTCAGAAAACGAAGCTTTTTCAGATCATCTATAAATACCGATATTTTTTTCTAAATTAAAGAACCCAATTCAAGGATCGATTTGGTTACGGGACAGAGCATCCGAGCTAGGAAAACTATTTCCAGGAGAGCCAGAGTTCTTTTCTTCGATGATTGTAAAGCTTCAAAACGGACATAAATCGATTTTTAAAATACCCCCCGAAATAAGTGTCAACTATAGTTGGAAAGACTAATCAAATGAAGACTAAATTAATATTCTTAACTAGGACGGATGGTACCAGCCTACGTTCATCAAAAACGGTGCGGGTCGAACGACGAACATTTGCAATCTTTTGAGGTTTATAGCTGTTATAGGGTTTATAGATTTATAAATCACATGATCCTACATTGGTTTCAAACAGTGCCCGTTTCAAAACGCAAACTATTAATTTACATACTGCTAATGAAAGGTCATACTTCCGGTTTTGTAATTTTTGTATAATGGATAAACCTATTGAATCACTATTTGTACACTCGTTCGTTAATAAATAAAAAATGAAACCAAAAACAATTTTTGAATTTATTTAAAATTATTTCTTGAATAGAAAAACTGCAAAAAATAAAAATTAAAATATTTAAACCAAACCAAATTTTTTTTTAAATTATAACAACAAATTGTTATTTGCAGCAATTTTTTTTTAATCAAAGGTAGGGGAATTTACGTATTCTCGTCAATCTAAGCAGCGTCCGCACTTCTATTTGCATTTTCACAGCGTCACGCACATATATGACGTGTCTGTTTGTTTCAATTCATCTGCTGCTTGCAGTGGTGGCACGAGTCCTGGAGTTTAACATTTTTTCCTTAACATTTGATACTTTTTGCGATAACCATTTTGACGACACACAAAAACAAACTGGCAAGCGGCAAAAATGTCATGACATTTCTAAACTGTTTTCTGCCAGCGACAGAACATTTTCGCACAAAGAAGCAGACAAGACCGGCGGCTCGCGCGACATAAATTTATGTCGTGTAGAATTTGGCTGATTTCTGGCTAATTACTGCATTTATTTGATGTTTATTGCATGGAATTAAAAGATAAGAATGAACACTGACCACTCATAAGCATTAATGTTAAAATTATGCGTAAATAAGGGAGTTGGTAATTTACTGTCACACGCAAGCCTGCAGCTAAAATTTCATTACAATAAACTGTTTGGAAAAATCAGGCTGCGAGATTTTATTTATTCTCTATCTCCGCTGTTCGCTTGGAATGTAGTTTTAAACGGCCGCCCGTGTGCTGGCTGTTTTGTTTCGCTCTGGACGATGGTTTTTCAAAAAATGTACTGTTGCCACCTCTGGCTGCTTGCTTCTCTATCCATTCCAATCGACAGAATTCTTCAAAACTGTTTGAAAGCGTTTTTACAACGCTCTAAACTTCTCAGGTGAGTGTGACTATTGTCGGCAGCCTCTTTTTCTTCGGCAACCTTCCCATTAGAACATCGTGTTAACCAGCTGTTCTATTATCGGCAACTCGAAATCAGCCCCATTTTGTAGTACGTATGCTTAATTTGAAGAAAAATCTGGCATAACAGGATTGCTCGGTCCTACAAATATAATCAGATTGAAGCTGAAAGACTAAAGAATCATTTGGATATATTCAGGGAAGTGTGTTGATGGTAAAACATAGTGAAATTAACGTTTAAATTTTGGTTGCCGAAAACAGTCAATAGGTGCCGAAGCCGACATTTACCCTAGTTATTGTTGGTAGGAATTTAATTTTTTTTTGATCAAAAAAAGATTTTGTCTGTTTGAAAATAAATATTGTAAATTCAACAAAATATATTTTTAATTGCGTTTTCGACAGATTTTGAAAACAACAATATTTTATGTCCGAACAATAAAGGCTTATTGTTGAATACAATAAAAAAAAAGTTATTAGCCGGGGAATGATAATTTTTGTATCATTGAAATAAAAAAAATTCTGCGGGATTTAGTTCATTTGGCCACTATTTAAGATTATTATTCGAATATAGTGCCCATTAGTCTCACACAAGCCCAATGTGCGCAGGTTATTAAGTCAATCATGCGTCTTTTATTTTGCAATGGGATATCGAATGACGTTTATTCGTCAAAAGCATGTTGCAATTAATAATGTTTTGTTGTTTTTGACATCATCCACATCCATAGGGCCAGTCATTTTCGAATGTATGTGAATGGTAGGAAACCATTTGGAAATGCATGAACATGTTCAGTTTTTATTCATTA